ATTTACAGAACAGAACAAGAAATATGATTCATCACGAGTCAACAAATAGCTTGTTGTTTGAATATTTGTTAAAGTAGGAAAAAACATTGCAAACATTGTCATCATTGTAGTTCTTGTGTATTATTCATTTGTATTTGATTCACGTGTTTTTTTATGCAAATCATAGATATTACTAATCGGATGTATATATATATATATAGAGGAGAGTATCTTTGAATGATTCATACGGAAACTATAAAAAAAATATAAGATTAAAATTTATGATACGCCCACAATTACGGTTTTCTAGTGGCATTCTTTGTAAGTCTTTTTTCATTAAATGCAATTTATTAAATGTAGAAAGAGTATTTTTGAGTTAATCAACTGATAAGCTCGATAAAAATATCAATGTCTGTGCTCAATATATGATGGGTACAGAAGAACCTAATAAGCAACTTAACAGAGATCAGATGAAATATTTGCTTGGACATACAATAGATAAAAGAAGTTAGAGTCATGGAAAAAGAAAACAAATAACTCTAGTAATCGTCAAAAATACCTAATTTTAATAAATTTAAAAGAAAAGTTTTAATTTTCAGATGTTTTCTACAAATATCAAAAGAAAAATGTTTTTCATGGAATAGAGATCGTAGCAAAAATATTCTTCATAAGCAATTATAATCTTCTCATAATAAAAATCTATCAGCGTATAGACAACGGCGAAACAATAAAAAGTGTGGTTGTAGGTGCTGTTCACTTAGAAATAAGGGTGTGGGTGTGGGTGTGGGGTGTGGGTGTGGGTGTGGGTGTGGGTGGGTGTGGGTGTGGGTGTGGGTGTGGGTGTGGGTGTGGGTGTGGGTGTGGGTGTGGGTATGGGTGGGTGTGGGTGTGGGTGTGGGGTGTGAGTGTGGGTATGGATGTGGGGTGTGGATGTGGGTGTTACAACCTTCTTTTCATAAACAGTCCACACTTCACACATCCACTCTCACACTCACACCCACACTCTTTTTTAAAATTATTTTCAGTTGACTATATTGAATATATGTTACTATCTAAATATGATCAAATTTTTATTTAATAAAATATTTCAACTAGGTCTCAGTTACACCATCATCTTCACACTGATCGGAGTATACAACGTACCAATCGTGTGTAAGAGTGTTACTATACTCCACATGAGCAAGGGTGTGGGTGTGAGAGTGGATGTGTGAAGTGTGGACTATTTGTAAAAAGAAGGTTGTAACACCCACATCCATACCCACGCCCACTTACACCCACACCCACACTCACACTCACACCCATACCCCACACCCACACCTACCCCACACACCCACACCCACCCTATACATGGACGAGGACATTCGAACATGACTACTTACGATTAATATTATTTTGACGATTGTGTTTTCTTAACACTTGCTACCAGTTTCAAAAAATAAACAATAAAATTTTTGTTATTTAAGAACAAAAAAAAACCTTTGCATGCCTCTACCCGAAGGAATAGCGTTGGTTGAGTTTGAGATGCTCTATGTAAAGAGCTTATTTGATAAATATGACATCTGATGATCAACTAATGAGTGCATTTAACTATAAAATCAATATTTAGAAATTTGTTCAAAGGCTTCCAACACAAGAATTTATTATGACTGTCTTTTTCAAGAACACTTACGGATTTTGTTCTCAGTTTTCATCAGTTGATGTTCAATATTGCTTAGAAAATTATGAAATAAAGATAAAATATCTGCCGAACATAAATAATTCTGCTAAGATTGTTGAATAAAAGTAAAAGACATCACAAAATGCTTCTTGTAGAAGTTTCATGTAATCAGAATTAAACTCAACAGTCGAAACTGTTATTGTGTCAGGTTTACTTCTAGTGGAGTATTGAAAAGTATTCTTCCGATATATTTGTTTTTTTCAAGTAGTCAGAACTTCGATAGGTTTTCTCTCGTTGATTACTCGAAACTTTGATGAGCATCGAAAGTTCGAAACGTGTTCAATGAGTCGAGATTGATCATTTGATGGAATAGAATTTTCAAGTAGTCCAATTTCGTTGGCTGTCGAGAGACTCGAAATTGTGAGAACCAAGAAAAAGTATACACTTGAAATTTTTAACCCCTCATCGCATCCATTCTATGTTTTTAATAGTGTGCTTGGAAAGAATCATACCATTGCCTAGATACTAGATTTTGCTGATGAAGCAAATATTTGAATATAGAACTTGTTTCATAAGAAAAATCGTCGAAAAATTCGATTGTTCATATTCGACAGGCGATTTATTGCCTATGAGAAAATATCTTCGAAAGTGAAACTTATCAAAAGCATTAGTACGAATAATATGAAAGCAGGGCATATGTTGAGATTTCTTTTTTTGCTTTTTCCAACCGAATAGGAATATATTACTCATTGATGAAAATTTGTTGATAACATTCTGTGTGTATGACACTGGCTCGATGTATAACAGTCAGTCGAATTATGTTTTCAGCACGAGTCTAATTAGAACGTCATTTGTTCCGATCGTTTCAAGCCTTAATATTCCAAGTAGAAAGACAGGTAAAAAAACACCATGGAGTTTGACTCATCTCTTTTCGATATTTTTCCCTTAGAGTCATTCAAAGAATGTTCGTTTCGAATACAGGATTTTTGTTTCGTATTTTTCAGATAGATAAAAAAATACATGGTAGTGAATAGTCATAAATACATAACTTGTACATCTTAATCTTCTCATAAAATCTGAAAAACGCACTAGATTTTTTTCGGATAAGTTTATTTGGCTGAATAGTGAATATCTAACTTTGCGTTAGTTCAAACGATTTTAATCAACATTCAAGTGAGAATGATTAAGAATCACTATTCAATGTTAAAGAATCGATAGAAGTTCAAGAGTGATGATCCAACAATCGTATAAAGGATCGTTCTTGCTGATCCATCAAAGTGGTAATCCAAGTTGGTCGTGAACAAGAAACCAATAAGATGAAAATCAATGCAGCTATCGAGGCAAAAGAAAATATCGCACATTATTCAAAGGCATGAATTAAGCTTTTTATAGTTTTCGCTTAATGTGCAATAATACCTAACTTGAATGAGGCCGGTGCAAACTTAAGAAGATCTCTTCTCTTCAAGCTTTCCGAAGAAAAGATCATGAGAAAAGTTTGAAACTTTCAGAGTAGATAGATCACGATGAATAGATCAAAAATTGTCTGAGATTGAAAATTTTCAATTGGTTTCTTCTCGAAGATACAGGCGTTACAACGACTAAAAACCAATCCCTTCCTCAATTGCACCGTTTTCTCGACCGAAAAACGTCTCATACAGCTGAAACTCTTTTTTTTTTACATATTCCAGACACTGTTTGAAGTGCCGACATTTTTTGCTTTCATTTCAATCGCTCTAATAAAAGTCTCAGCTCAATCGAGCATACTGTGCCGAACAAATGGAGACGATTTAGCACTTTTTCTGTGTAAAAACTGATTTCGAGAAATACCTTTCAAATGAGAAATAATCATCATCATTAGAAGAAGTTTACATAGAATAGAATAATCGTAGCGTGAGTTTTCTGATAATGAGTTTGCAAGGGGGCTTTAATAAATGCACCAACTAACAACGAAGAGCACTCATTTAGGGTGAGTGTGGGTTATGAGTGTTATTGTTATCGACCACAACCCTCAACCACACCTTCGAATTTTTAATCTTATTTTATGCAATACATTTAAAAAAGGTCACTATTACAATCGCATCATGTCCCTGGCTGTAAGTTCACTCTTGTTATTTGTCGGCATTATCGTTTTTGAGACTGTAAAATACGGAGATATATACTTAGGGCATACCAAAAGTAATAGCAGTGGCACTTTTATACCATATACTAAGCTTTAAAAAACTTGCTTCCTATATAGTCTGATAGAGAAAAGAATGCCCTATTTTTCTATACTATTTGATCATACTTGACCTAATATCATAATAATAAAATTTTGTTAAGATCTGTTTTGTTATCATATGTGTCGGCTGTATTAACGCTCGTTTTAAAAACATACGAGTGAGTATTTTTTAAATAACTTTTGACAGAAATAAGATGTTTAAAAGAAACGATGAAAATGCATCGAATTGTATATTGCAAGATTTCCTGATTTGTTTTTCATAAATTTTTCAATTGACGTTTTTAACAACAAACCTATGTATGAAGTTCTCTACAATGAATTTTCTGTTATGAAATATAGATTCAAACCGCTAATCTGAGATCTCCAAACTACGAAAGATTGAGATGAATAATATGTGTTTTAATCCAGCGACTAATACAATTTTTTAACAAATTCTGTGAGAAAAGCTCACTTTTGCGCTTTTTCCTTTTCTCACTAAAAACTCACATTTCTTTTGACAATTTGGAAATTGAATCAGAATACTTCAGAAATCAATATTAGAAAACTCTATAATATACGATTCGATTCATTTTCATCTTTTCTTTTGAACATCTTATTTCTATTAAAAGTTATTCAAAAAAAATTTCACTAACATTAAAATAACCATGTCGCATGTGAATAGAACAGATTTTAGCGAAATTTTATTATTATAATATTAGGTCAAGTATGATCAAAATAGTATAGAAAAATAGAGCATTCTTTTCTCTATCAGACTATATAGGAAGCAAGTTTTTTAAAGCTTACTATATGGTATGAAAGTGCCACTGCCACTAGTTTTAGTACGCCCTAAGTACTTTCGGTGTAACTAGTGAGAATCAAATTATGTCATCTAGTATATATGATATAAATATGAAATGTAACTATCAATGCAAATAGAAAAAAAATCCAAAAAATTATTTGTCCCGTTACTTTTCAGGCACCCTATATATAGAACCGATAATACTTAACGAATATCATACTTTATAAAATTGTACTTAAAGAAAATGTAGCTTTATACAGACTAGAAGTTTTTTTTTGTGATCATCTTCATGTTCTTAGAATTACATTTTTAACTGGTGTATGAAAAAAAAAATTTGTCATTGATGATTTACTAAAGTATTAATAGTATCAATAAGAGCCTCTCGGTGGTAATGTTTCATATTCATCAGGACATACACGACGAGTAAATTCATCGGTACAAGCCATACGAAGTCGCTCGACAGTTGCCGGAGAATGAAGTGTAAAATAGTCTGATAAGCCTTGTTGTTCTCGATAGGCCATGCATGCTTGTTTTAAGGCAAAGAAAGCCGAACTACCAAGTAGCAATGGTGGTTCACCAATACCTTTTGATGAATAAATAGCTCGTGGATTCAATGAATCCGATAGAAGTGAAACACGAAAATCGATTGGAACATCGTTAAACGATGGAATCTTATAAGTATCAACTCCACAAGTGTATAACTGTCCTGGTTGAATCCATTTATTCTGTGTATGATCACCCCAGATGAGTTCCTCCATAGTATATAAACCAATTCCTTGCATAAAACTACCTTCAATTTGACCAACATCAATTTGAGGATTGAGTGATGAACCAACATCCTATAATAGAACAAGTTTATCATTAATCACATAAGACTTTACGTACCATAAGAATATCAACACGTAAAAGATGCCAATCTCCTGTTAATACATCTAATTCAACTTCAGTTACTGCTGCACCTTGTGTAAAATAATTGTAAGCAGCTTGATTTTTAGTAAAATCATAATCAAAGATATTTGGTGTTGCATAAAATCCACGTGCACATAGATCAAGACGAGTCAAATAAGCTTGTTTTACAAGATCCTCCCATGAAATATTGACATTATTATCAACAATGAGTGTATCTAATCGTTGACGAAGTTGTTCACAAGCATGTTTTACAGCCATTCCATTAAGATCCGACGAAACCGATCCACCTGTTGCACTCATATTAGGTACCTTATCTGTTGCTGTTTCACTAATTCGTATCTTATCAATACTACAACCTAATACTTCAGCAGCTATTGATATCATTTTTGTATGAAGACCTTGACCTACTTCCACACCTCCATGAGTGACTATCACGGACCCATCTGTGTAAATATGAACAAGGGCTCCTGCTTGGTTAAAACATTTAAATAAACCTCCAATACCAAATTTAACCGGTATCAACGATATACCACGTTTTCGATAAGTATTTTGATGATTAAATTCATCAACATTCGTTTGTCTTTGAATAAAATCACTTGATTTACTAAGTTCATCTAAAATTCGAGGAACATTCCATAATTCTAAAATTTGTCCATAATGAGTTGTATCGCCTTCTTTAAATAGATTAAGACGACGAATAGTAAATGAATCACGTTTAAGATATGCAGCAACATGTTCAACAACTGTTTCACAAGCTAACATTGCTTGTGGCCCACCGAAACCACGAAAAGCTAAAATAAATCATTTATATACTTTATTTGAAATTTTTATTTTTATTGACAAACCAGTATTTGATGGTATATGTGTTTTACAAACACGACCACGAATTTTAATATTAGGAAATTGATAAGTATTACCTACATGAAGCATAGAGAGTTCCATTACAGCTCTTGATGCATCCAATGTACAACCACCATTATTCCACATTTGAATATCAAGTCCCAAAAAATGACCTTCATTAGTAAACGCTACTTTATATTTTATTTTATATGGATGTCGATGTCCAGTTATAGATATATCAACGTGACGTTCAAGATTAAGACGAACAGGACGATTGATTTTAACAGCAGCTACTGCAATAGCAAGACAATAAGGAAAACTACAATATAACAAATTTTTATATAGTCTATTATATTCGAGAGAAAAAACTTTTTTGACTTACGATCTTGATTCCTTACCACCAAATGCTCCACCAACTCGTTTTACATGACACGTTATATGACTAACATCTCGACCGAGAACTAATGCGGTTAATTCTTGTATGGCACTAGCACTTTGAGTTCCCAAATACAATGTTATTTCTTTATCGTCATGTGATGGTATAACAATACAAGAATGTGTTTCCATATAAAAATGTTCTTGACCACCGATATAAATTGTATCTTCTAATGTATGTTCAGCATCAACAAAAGATTTTTCAACATCACCTTTTTGAAGACATATTTCATCACCAAAATAAGATTGATGATTAATAGCATCTTCAATTGTTAAAATTGTTGGAGATAATAATTCATAATCAATTTTAATAAGATTTGAAGCTATTTGAGCTGCATGTTCTGTTTCACAAACAACAACACCAATTATTGCACCAATACAAAGTGCAACTGATGACACAAATACTTCTTCATCGGATAATATACCATTTGTCTTATTCGAACCAGGTACATCGAGATAATTGACAAATGATACAAAACCAGGCACTTTGGAAGCATCATCAATATCTGTCATTATATTATTTCAATTAGATCTATAAAAATAACATAAATTTCTTACCGATATGTTTAATTCGAGCATTTGGTTTTGTACTAAGTACAAGTGCAGCATGAAGTGTATTGAATAAAAATGACATGTCATCAACATATATAGCCTCTCCAGTAGTATGTAAATAAGCTGATCGATGTGGTAATGAACTACCAACAAATTTCTGTGATTGAGGTTGTTCAGGTATTGTTTGTTGTCCATGAGATATTGGTCGATGATAAGAAAGAATACTTGAATCGATTAATGGTTGATGTAATTCATTACATACATATGAATAAAATTTGAAAAGAAATGATTGAACTAATGTTCGTCTAAATATATCGAGGAAAAAAAATGAAAATAATTATATTAGTGACAGATAATAAATACCTGTATTCAAGTTGACCACCTAGACTTAATTCATCAAGTGGCATTTCTTTAAGAAGTAATTCACATGTTTTATTAATTGTTTCTTTTGTCCAAGATAATCCAATTAATTGTTGTTGAGTATTTATTGCTTGAATTGTTTTTGATGCCATTCCACCAAATGAAAAACAAGCTGAAACAATTTTCCATTGATCATTGACTAAATTCGACTGTTCAAGTTGAACTTTAAATCCAGCACTAACAATTCCTTTTGAATCATCTCGACGACTAGCTTGTTTATATGATCGAAGAAAATATTTATTTGATGATTTTACAAGAGGAATATGAATACCAACAAGAATTTCATAATCTGCCATTGATACACGACGATCACCAAGAAAAAAATCGCATAATGAAATGTGTCGTACTTTAGTATTATCAGCACGATGCAATTCAAGTGTTGCATCTGCAGCTACTAATACTGGATTGATATCAGAACTAGATTAAAAAAAAAAGAATATTTTAAAAAATTTTCTCGAATGTAATTTACATAGGAGAAGCAGCAATTATATTTCCACCAAGTGAAGCAACATTTCGTATTTGTGTTGATGCAAAATGTTTCAATTGATCAAGTAAAGCTTGACAGAAACCATTATTATTATTATCATTCAATTCAATTAACTTGGCTTTTAAACGTGTAAATGTTACACCAGCTCCAAGATATATGGAATCTTTAGTTCGTTTTATTTCTTGTAATTCTTTAATATGTGTAATTGCAATAAGACGAGGATAATTTATTTGTTGAAATTTTCTTTCTATTTGTACTGTTGTATTACCAAAAACAAGTTTTGATTGATCACCTGGATATGTATGACGAAGATGAAGTAATTCATTAAGTGATATTGGACGATACCAATCAATCGAAGAACCTATTTATTTATAAATATAACTATTCTAATATGTAAACGAGATCATATACCTTTAATATGAATTGATTGAGGAATATAATTTCGAAGTTTTGAAGGAAATTCGACTTGATCAATTTTTAATGAATTTTTTTGAACATATGACAAACATTTATCCATTGTAGTTGATGTTGTTGATGATGACGATTTTTCATAATGAATTTTATCTATATCACTTGCAAATGTTTTTGCAGCATCAAGAATTGGACGATATCCGGTACATCGACAAAGATTTCCATCAAAAGCTTCTTCAATATCTTGCATTGTTGGTAATAAATCATTTTTTGATGTAAGAGTACCATAAAGAGACATGACCATGCCTGGTGTACAAAATCCACATTGTGAACCAGATAATTCAGCAAGACGAGTTTGAGCTTTATGAAGATTTGATTTGTCAGCTGAACCTAATCCTTCAACAGTGATTACATGACATCCATCAACAGAACACAACGGTGCCAAACAGGCATTTATCGTACGATGTTCAATTTCATCAGATTCTCCCCCAATATATCTCGAAATGAGAACTGTACAAGCTCCACAACCACCTTCTCCACAACCTAATTTCGAACCGGTTAATCTTAATTCTATATATAGAACAAATAAAAATACACATTATTTACGAATATTAAATAATTTTATCACTTACTATTTCTTAGATACCAAAGAAGAGTCCATTCGGGTTCAATATTACCATCAATAATTTCTTTACCATTAACATAAAAAGAGAGACAATTCATTCCTGTAGTGTTGCTTTTTAAACTATACCTTCGTGTTGATAACATGTGCATACTTATATGTGCTCGGGCACAGTTGCAGATAAGACAGATAAAGAATTGAGAACATTGATATCAGCACATTTTCATTATAAGTGACAATGACTAGGTAACTCGATGTATGATATAAAATATTTTTACTTCGAGTCTCTAAAACTTCGTTTTCAGTGGTGATGGCCATAGTGTTGTTAAAGATGATATAGTCTCAGTTTAATACTCGTTTTTTGAGTTATTTAAAACTATAGAACATTTAATTATAATGTCTGGTTCTGATTCAGACAACTTTTTTCATTGTAATCTTGCTCCCGATCCCACGGATAGAGTCCATCGCATGGATTTTTTGTCTGGCTTCAAAAGATTTTTGATTCGAGAAGCTCTTGGTATCGCTGAGATTCGTTGACAAAAATTTTCATAAAATATATTAAAATTCAAAAAGTCTTAGCGATAATTCGAATTCGATCTTTAGTTCAATCATTTTTAATTTATTTATACAAGGAAGTAGTACTAAGCCAAACGAAAAGACTTTATGGTTGATTATGAAAGGTCTATATACAATGAAGAAAATAATCAAAAAACAGAATGAAAAGCCAGAAATATTCTAGAAAAGTATCAATGACGTCCAGAAATAATCTTACATCCTCACTCCTGTCTTCAACGAAAATGAAAAGACTTGTAGAGAATATCCAATATGTATCCATAAATCTATCTACACAATTTCTAGTCCAAAGAATTCGAACAAAAGCAAAGGATTCATGAGCAAATTAGGGCCAAATTCAGATTTCAAAATCTGAAACAGTAGATCTCTTTCCTTTAAAGTACGTGCGGATCCATTGTACTAGGGCGTTGGTGTGAAATTTTTTCTGCTCTACAGCAACACCCACCCCCTAAATAATATATGATTTATATTTTAAGTTAAATTAAGGTCACAGTTTAATTTGATTGAAATAAAGAATTATTTTTTTTGAAAATTATTGTTTGATTTCTTTCTATTTCTGCTTTGCCTGAACAAAATATTGATTGAATTTCCATTTCTACATTTTCAAAGACTGATTTTTTCCGTAGAGCAAATATTATTAAAACCTTTTAATTGAAGACATTATAAGTTTTATTTTTGTGAAAACATATATCAAATGAAAAATAGTAACTACTTAAGCAAAAGAGTAAGTTCATGATTTAGTGATCTCTATTCAATTTCTTCGAAAGTTGTTGTCACTTGAGAACCAAAAAAACGGTTGACATCGATGGAAGGGAAGTCTCGAGTGTATATCAGTGCTAATTCTCAATTCGCGAGTGTTTTTTCGATCGAAACAGGTAATTATCCAGTGTCGTTGGTTCCAAATAGATGATCGAAATGAACTTGTAATATTTCTGTTTGATATTAATGGATCTTTAAAGATGCGACGAACTGAGACGCGAAGTGAATTAAGATGAGAACAATGAAAATCGACCAATTCATCCCAAAGTGAACCATCTAACCATTTAGTATCGACTCCATCACATTGAACATCAATAATAACTGATTTAACTCGAGGACATCGGATCAGAAGACAATAAACAGGATCGAAAGAAACATCACTTAAAGAAACAAGAGATAAAGTTGACACAAACGATGGAATAATATTATTCAAAGAGAGAAAACGATGAAAGAGATCATCGTGACGAATTTCCAACGTTCGAAGTTGATTATCGTCGATTAAAGGTAATACATATTCAATGGCAAATTCTACTTGAAATCGTGTCAAATGCCCGTCTATAGCAAGGTTTTTTCCTTGAGTAAAATGAGCGATCAGAGCAGAAAATCGATTATTCAAATTCGAAAAACTATGATGAATATCAATAATTAATAACCGACAAAAAATACATAGAAATATTTCATTCGGTAAATCTTCTAATCGTGTCACCATTCTTTTCATCAACACGTAAGAAATAAGAATATGTCGTTTTAACTAAACAAATAGAGAAAGCAAGAACGAACAATAACGCTTGTATAATCAAAAAAATTATTATAGAAAACAACAAAAATATTTTATGCTATCGGCAAAACAAAAAAGCATTTATTCAACCAGATGTTTATGTCAAATATATCACGGCTTGTTGTCAAAAATGACTAAAAACTACCATAAATCGAATGAAATAAATCCATTTAATTTTCTCAATTGATATCGTCGACAACAATCAATATTTATTTAAAGAACGAGTTCTTCTATTTCTATCCGAGAGTGTTGAACAGGCACAAGTGCAATATATTACACTTGAAAAAACGCAAAATAAAATGGAAAAGAACGATCAACATGCATGCATCTAACATATAAATCAATAAAAACTTGAAAAGCGAATAGAATTAAGTGAATACAAATTGAGTACTCACACACACAATTTTCGAGGAACTACAAAGAATTAGCAAATTTACCATAACACATTTATTGTACATGACTCATTTTGGAATGATAGATGATCATGAAAATATTGAACAACTTAGAGAAAAGTTATGCAAACATAAACCATTACATAATTGTTGTCTTTCAGCATTATTTGATATACACTTATTCTATATATATTCTTCTACGCATAGTTTGTAGCATAATACAAGAACCGATTTGTAAATTGTGAATTGTTTTTAAATATGTAGAAGGAATCTTTTTCAACAGTAAAAAGAGGTCAAAATATTGAATTGATGGGTTTCTTCTTCTGCATTCAAAAATAAATCAACATTATTCATCTTATGAGTGTGATAGTTCAGTTTTTTTTTCTTTTTTTCGTGTCGACTCTTTGAAATTGGTAGATTATAATGAATTGTGACATTTTAATATTTTCTTTATTTTACAGATAACAATTAAACAAATGAATATCTTATTCTTTTGTTTTTTTAAATATACAGGACGCAAGATAGAAAATAGTTTATTATTTCATTTACAATTTCTCTATTATTCTTTGTTTTTGGCAAGCTTTCTTTTCATTGATGAACAGTTTCAATTCGTAGATTGATTTTAAGTTTCTCGGAATCCATCTGACATTTAAATATATATTGGCTATCGTACATTATCGGCTTGTTCACGTAACACGCTGCTTCAAGTGTTAAATATTTATTTCAAAATTTGAAATGAACGTTTATGTCACACTGTAGAGCACTCTTTGTTTACAGTCGGTAATGGAAACAGAAAAATTCTACTGATTGAGAGTCTCTGTATAATACACAGACATATCGATGAATGTAAAACAATCAAAATTTATCTTCGTAAATTTTTGCGATATTTCATTTTCGTTTATTAACTGTTTATTGGTTTTGTTGAAGACTTTTCTTTAAATTAATATTATTGTTTTTGCAGAGCTATGCGTTGCAGATGTATAATATCTCTATTTAAATATATCAATTCATATCTCAGTCAAATTCATCTCCATTGATCAATGTATATATCGTGCGAAAGTTGAAACTTCGGCAAAAGTTTTATCGAAGTTGTTTTGTACTGTTCAAATGTTATAGCATCCAGAAATGAATGTTATCATGTTAAAACAAATAGTTAAAGAAAAAATTTTATCTCCACAATATTTACAATTCTATATTTATTATTGAATATATTTTAGCAAATTTATTGACATAAAAGATTACTTTTTGAATATTTTTTTCGTCTTTTCCATTTTATTCAGACCAAGTTGAACAATCTAAAGCAGTGAGATGGTCTATTGTTGCTGAGCCATGCTTTGAAAAAGATTATATGGAAAAGAATAAAGAAGTAAATATTTGTTGAGCTTATTTGAAACTTGTTCTATCTCGTGTATTCATCATAGCCATATTTCACCTGTTTTAATTAATTTAATCAATAGAAAATTGATTCGATTCATTTAATTAGAAAATAGAAAATCTAACACAACGTGGGTGGGTTTTCTATCGAAGTTTAACATGTTTATTATCAAGAATCTAACTACATAAAATGATTGCTTCACCCTTACCATAAAATATTTAACATATTTTAATGCTAGCCAAAACTTAGTATTTAGAAATTTTTGAAGATAAACTCTATGTTAGCATATTGATTTGGTTTGAAAAATTTATAATTCTATGTTTGACTAGACTTACAAATAAAATTTCCAAAGTTTATCTTGAGAAGATGAAGAAAATTTCAAAAAATTGGAAAAACTGATCTTTAATTATAAAATAACACATGTAATCGATAACATTTAATTGAAATAAAAATGACTAGAATGAATATTTTGTCAATAACCTAAAAACCTTATTGAAATTCTTGTTAAGAATGTTTATTAAGAAAATTCAATGTGTTATATACAGGATGAGGATAGCTTATTGTTCATGATTCATCTTAGATATTCTGTGTGAAAAGAAAAAGAAAATGTTTATCATCAGTCCATCAAATAATCAACAAACATGTACATGCTTTATTCTTTCGTCTAGATTATTCGTTCTGGATATATTTATTTCATCTTTTACTATTTAGATTTAGTCAAGAAACGTAAATCATAGACAAAAAAAACACAACATTTATTAATATTAAATTTTCATTTAGTATGTCAATAAATTCCATTGAAAATCTCTCTGATGAATTGTTTTACGAAATTTTCGATTATCTTAATGGTTGTGAAATCTATAATGCTTTTTCAAATCTTAATTATCGTTGAAAACGATTAATCAATTCTTCATCTCTTCTATTAAAACTTAATTATTCACATTCAAAAGAAATATTTATGAATAATTATCAACAAGTTTTACATCTCAATAAAGATCAAATATTTTCAATTCATTTATGGTTATCACAAAATACTAATCAAATTATTTCATCACTCAACATTGATTCATCATTTATTCATCTTGAATCTCTTGTTTTTTATTCAATTGAACCAGATGTATTAATTTCAGTTCTTCCAAAATTAACTTGTTTACCTCGTCTTTTCTCGTTAATAATCGATACATGGCCTACTCAAAAAGATTTAGGTGATATCTATCGATTAATTTTCAATCTACCAAAATTAAAGTATATCAAATATACAGCAATGGAATTTAATGATGTTGATATAACTATTTCATTACCAATAACTACTAATGAACAAATAACTTCTATTGAATATTTTATTATCGATCATTCTTGTGCTATCGATGAACTTTTTGCTATAACATCTTATACTCCACATCTTCGTCGTTTAAAATTTTTGAGTCTTACAGATCGAAATGTAAATATTAGAAATATTAAACCAATGATATTACCAAATTTAACACATCTTTCTATTCATATATATAGTAAAATGTCATTTAATATATTTCGAAAATTTATTAGTAAATTAAATTCAAAAATCAAAGTTTTATCATTGACAACAATAGTTGAAGATATTACTTATCTTGATGCTAATCGATGGGAAAATTTTATTTTAACAAAATTATCTCAATTAGAAAAATTTTATTTTAAATACAGTGCATATTTTGCAGAAGATTATGAAACCCCGGTGTATTTTGGGCAACGTGATCAATTTATTTCATCATTTTGGCTTCAACGACGATGGGTATTAGACATTGAATTTGAATTTGAAAATATCATTTATTCAATTCGTCCATATCAGTATGTATATCAAAAAGAAGTTTTTACGTTGAATATATACGCCGGGAAAAAATAAGCTATAGTCTGTATTTTGGGAATATCGTTATCATAGCAGCGTAGGTGCATATTTGAATTGTAATTATCTAGCTATTTCTCTTATAACTTTGCTACAAAACGAGAGGTGATTTATAGTAAATTCTTGTATTTTGTTGCACAACAAACTAGTTTTCCATTGATATGAATGAACATTTTAAAACAAATGATGAATAAATGCGAAAACTATATTTTCATATTTATTTTATTCCTTTTATCATCTTTACAATAAAGAAGATAGTTGTATTTACTATGTGTACTTCATATTGGTATTCTTTTAACATTCACATCCATTGATAATTCATGAAATTTGACACTTACTCAATAATCTTTCTGAATATTAAACGAAAATACTTGATGACACACTTTTATGATATAGTTAGTGACGTGCACACGGTCGATTAATATATAGTAAATTTTCAGGTGACCTAATTTGCCTAAACTAGCAAGGAAAACATCAAGATATAGTAAGCACACATCAAGGAAAAACATTTTGCTTTTAAATGCAGTGATTGAAGTTGATTAAAAACAGACGAGAAATGATTCTCGTAAAATATTGGAAAGAAAACCAATGAGTTACCAATGTTGAGTTATATGACATATGAAAGAGAAAATAGAATGTCTTACATATAAGGATAAATTTAGCCGGGTAAAACATATATTCATATTCAAATCTTCGAGGTC